GAGGGGCTATGCTCGTGCACATGACGAGTATGGATCTCTGGATCTGCTATGCTATTACGGTTAGGAGCCGTCGGCTCCTCTGAGTCCCCACGAGTCTGCAGGAAGTTTCACTGATCCGCGTCCCCTCCCCTGAGCCAAACGATCACTTCTGGCAGGCAGCTATCCTGTATACTTGCTAAAGGGTAGGCAGATGGACTGGGGTACGTTGCAATGTGATTTTACATGTTATAAAGAGAGTAGCGAGTGACGCAATTTATAGTTTTAATTTGTACGTCACACCAAGTGTGGGACTCAAGGACTCGGGTTAATGGAGAGGGGAGACTCGTCACGACCAGCTCATTTCTAGGATCCGGGTTAATGATCCAGATGAATCAGGACTCGCCCATCTCTAATTGCAAGTTAGAAACGTAAGATGCATTTTGACAGACAAGGTGGACACTTGGGGGAAAATATGCTGCATTTTGAATGTCCGATAGTCCACCATTAAGACCTTAGTCCCGTCTCGTCTCGTCAACGAAAACTAAATATACATTTCGTCATAGTTTTCGTTATCAAGAATCTATTTTTAGCTCGTCATCGTCTCGTCTTAGTCATGTAAAAAAGGTCGTTGACGAACATTTTTCGTCATAGTTTTCGTTGACGAAATTAACACTGATGCAAAGACAGGGTGGAGGAGAGCAAAATAGAGCGAAATGAGGCATGGCTAAAATGCATGATCTGTTTGGTATTTTGAAAAAGAAAACGTATAAATATGCCTTATATAGGTATGGTCCTACACTATATTATTCAAATATAGCATGATAGGTCCACTTTAAAGGTGGGGTAGGTAAGTTTGAGAAACCGGCTCGAGATACACTTTTTGTTATATTCCATGGAATGCTCTTAAATGACGGATATACCTTTCTGTCTGTGATGTTTTACAAATCAGATATTATAAGTAAAACATGTGAAATAATATAGCAATATCCTGTACAATTATGTGAAAACATGAATAAAACTACACATCTTCAGATGTTATACATACACAAGTGTCCTACACTAATAATACAAAGTTATTATGGCTGTGTGTACCTTGTGTGCACCGCCTAGTGGTTAAAGCACGTTATTGAATTAGTTGTGTATATGATATGTCAATGATCCTTAGAAAATCTTGAAAGGGATGTGCAAAATAGCCATTATATACAGTCTTTAATTAACTATTAGTAGAGAATAACGAGTAATGAATATACTTTATAGGGATCTGCAGATACATGTTTAGTCTTCTCAAGCAGCAACTATCAAATATCTCTCCTGATTGTTGGCACTTGACAATCACCTTTCCCTGAATTTTACTCAGGTGTAACTAAAGCCTGATTTAAGGGTTGTTTATATTTCACATCATTAATCAGAATCTGCAAAGTAACTAAAATAAATGTAGTGGAGTAAAAATACCAGGTTAACCTCTGAATTGTAGTGGAGTAGAATTGCTGTTTTGTTTAGTAATGGATATTGAATATGGAATAAAGGTTTTGACAAGACCTGGTGTAACAATAATCAAAAAGGACATTAAAAGAGCTCTAGATGTCAATGATCTAAACAAAACAGCACACCTGAAATGTATATTTAAATACTTTATTAAGGGCAGTGAATTCGTTTTTTCCGTATGTTTTTCAAATCAGTGTTATACAGTAAGTGTCATAGACAGTGTTACATTGCTATTATTATCCTTAAAATATATGTAAAACAAAACCATTTATGATCTTTTTTTTGGGTGGTTTACTAATGACAGTTAATTCTGTTTCTGCTATTGATGGTTTCATTTTTGTGAAAAATAATAAAATAATAAAATGCAATAACGTGCTTTAACCACTAGATGTGCCTTTCTATCAGCTGTGCACCGTTATGGTGTAAATACAGCCTATCTACCAATTGGATCAAATATAAAAGTCAGCCGAATTAGTATTGATACTGCAAAGAGACGTATTGTGTGAAAAGAAAGGTAAGATGTTGTTTAATTGCTGATATATTTATGATCCACGTCACGTTTTCACTTTTGGCGGCAGTGCTTACTCTTTGTCCAGAAGTCTTCTCATCAGGGCTCTATAAATACAGAACTACGGCAGATATGTCATATTTAATGCAGCCAAACCCTGTATTACAATGCCGTTATGTGATGACCTCCAAAGAGAAAAGCAAGCAAACTCGGAATAAAGTATTATTTTATTTTAAAAATCTTTTTCGGATTTCACATCAACAGTAAGTCCGGTTAACTAAAATGTCCGTGGGGAACAATACCCCCAACCCATAGATCCGTGGGTGAATAATGTCAATCACCACATTACACACATCCCTTCACATTTACATTTTAATTTACATTAAAGTATTTCGTGAGGCCTTCTAAAATGTTTTTAAATATAATTAGGGTTGTAGTTGAAGAGTTTGTAAATTGCGTTGCCTGGCAACACAATCGCACAACGTCACGTCCGTTAATTCCACATCCACACCAGTCTATGATCCACACACATGGGGTGTTTCTCAATCGCGAGTAAAGCTGCTTCAGAGCCACTATTTCAAGCATACTACGTCATCGAGTGCCGCCGAAGTACTGTTCCAATCTCCAGTATACTTGGAAATCTACCGAGCCCGGCGTACTCCGTTTGGAGAAATATCGAGTCTGCACATGAGTAGACTTCGCGGTCTTAAAATCCCCACAATGCTTTGCGCACGGACCAATTTCCCAAAATCTGTGGCGGAAGATGTAAGAGGCGGGGCCTCTCATATGACGCACACCTGCACACTTGCTAGCGTGTTCCACACTTCGTTTTCCGAATGCCAGGAAGTATTCTTGACTCGCTTCTGAAGCAAGATGCTCGGCAGACATGTGCTACCAAGCAAGCGTACTCGCGATTGAGAAACACCCACAGATTAATGTAGCCTTTGTTTCTGCTAAAAGAGGTGTCGACCAGCTAGGGCAACAAGAAAATCGGCGAAATCAAGTGTGACGATTAAAAAATAAATTAAAAACATCTAATTTTGACAATAAAAACCGACCAATAGGCGCGGTAGACCATTTGCTAGGCACTTCCGGGTATTTCTCCACTGGTTGGGCCATGTTAACAATACCATGTAACTGTCACGTTTGAAGGGACAAAAGAATGCATGACTGAAGTGATGGAGACCATGTTTGAAGGCAAACAAAAAGAGGAAATAACAGGTCAAATCAAGCAAATCCCCCTCTCAGATTCCACAGCAACCAGAAGAACATAAATACTGGCTGGTGATTTGATTAATCAGCTTTGTGATGGAATACAAAATGCACAGTGCATTTCCTTAGCTGTGGATGAGTCCACTGACACCACTGACAATGCTCAGTTGCTGGTGTTTGTGAGTTTTTATGATGAGGCAAAGGGGGAGTTTGTTGAAGATGTGTTGGGCCTGACGAACCTCAGTGGACACACAAGGGGGCAAAACATTTATAAAGCAATAATGGGAATGCTGAATGAAAGAGGGTGCAGCTGCCTTTATTCATAACTGTGCAGCTCTTACACTGCGACTCTGAGGGATCAAGCACAGACACAATAACAATGAAAACTGCTGCATACAGATTATTTTAGTTTTTGCAACCTCGTGTTAAGAATCTTGTTGCAATTGTTTAAAAGTTTGAATGACCGTAATTAACGGACCTTTGTCTTATTGAAATTTTTTTTTTGACCTTTAAGATTTGTATTTGAGTACCGCCGGCGGCACGTCACGACGCATGACAACAAATATGCCCAGCGTACCTAGATGCGTCATGAGATGCCGCCGACCGCCGGCGTGGCTTAATAATAGTGCGAAAAGACAGCGGTTGTCGCCGGACAAGGAGCCGACTGCAAATACAGAAAATGCTGTGCCTGTGTTAGAAATGTTGTCTGGAGGTTCGACCTTCACCTTCGAGGTTCGACCTTCTCTGGTCGAACCTCCTGCTCCAAGTTCTGCATCCCATAAATCACCATCTGGATTCCCCTGTGTCCTCCCTGGCAGCTCCATTGATTCCCTCTCTCCTTTCCTGCTGAAAGATGAGTGTACTCAGGGACAAGGAGTCATTTAACCAGCCGCCAGTAGGAGTCAGGCTTTACTTTCTTTTATATCCATAAAGAAAAAGTAAATCTGTTTACAGTTCTGTTTCATATGGATGTTGAGATGTATCCATATATCTCTTCATTTTGCTCTCAAAGTGCACCAGATTGATGCATTTAACTTCAATATTTAAAAAAAAATCTTCCCGGGGGAGCATGCCCCCGGACCCCCCTAGAGGGTGTCAGGTCCACTCCCCACTTATAAAAATAGCACTTTACCACTGCACCCCCTCTAATCTCAGATGCACCCTGAGTCATTTTGTTTAAGTAGTGAGCCTTTCTAAAATATACAGTAAAGAGACAAACCCACCAGCATTATAGGATATACTATGACTTTGAGCCAAATACTTGTTTTTGGGCTGTATAAATAAATTGACTTGAAACAGTTGCTGATTTAGAGTACTGGCACCTTTTTTATTCCAATTCAAGCACTGATGATAACTGTGTGCATTTATGAGTATTAGCACTATGCGTAAACAGGTACAAACTCCGTCAAATGCCTGTTGCTTAAAGCTTCACGTCACACCCCGGAGAAAAGCCCTCATCTTGTCCTTTATTAAAAGTGGTCTTATCAATATCGGCTCTGAGCACATTAAAAGCCAGTTATTCATATCAAAATGCAAGTGTCAGCGAGGGCTTTGAACAAAAAAAAATACTCCTGAGGATTCACCCTCCACCTGCCTCTGCCAACTGTATTGGTTATCAGATTTTCTTAAATAAAAACGTGCTGTTTGTGTGTATATTTTTATTTTTTTTATTTAGCCTTTATTTATACAGGTGTAAAATCTCATTGAGACACAAGGTCTCATTTTCAAGAGAGACCTGTCAGTGGTAACACTACCACACAAAGTTACAGACAGACAGGACACTAAACACAGAGGCAACACTAAAATATATATATATACCGGCCTTCCTCTTTTTACGGCATTTGCTCCAAAACGGTTTCAATCGAAGGCTGTCTGCCGAGTTCCTATGCCCCTTTCCAGCTACTCTCCTATATTTCATGGTCATTCCCCCGCTGAATCCTTCCTGGCTGAATTATTTTTGACTGTATTATCAGGGACATCTGGAATCCGACCGTGTTTCTGTCATCATCATGTTTTTTGTGTTTCACGTGTCTTGTTTGCTTTTGAAAGTCTTCCTGCGACTTTGGCTGCTTGGGAGTGCGGTCGTCTTTCAACCAGGATGTTGTGGGTTAGAGCCCAGCCCGTACAGTCAACATGTCGATGATTCCTCTGGTAAGATACTGATCCCTGAGTTGCTCCTTGTGTGTGTGTGTGTGTGTGTGTGTGTGTGTGTGTGTGTGTGTGTGTGTGTGTGTGTGTGTGTGTGTGTGTGGTGTGTGTGTGTGTGTGTGCGTGCGTGCGTGCGTGCGTGCGTGCGTGCGTGCGTGCGTGCGTGCGTGCGTGCGTGCGTGCGTGCGTGCGTGTGTGTGAGTGTAACCTTCCCTAGAGCAAGTGGTGCTGCTCTGCATGAATGAGGTGTGATTGGGTGAATGACTTGCAGTGTGTAAAGACATTTGATTGGTCCAGAAGACCTGATAAAGAGCTTTATAAGTACAGTCCATTTACCTCCGTGTGTGATGTCTGTTTTTACTTCCTGTCTTTCTGTTTTCCCGCCTGTTTGTCTGATATATGTCTCCCCTTGTGTTTGCTTTCTATACGTCGTCTATGATCCCCTCTGGTTCCTGATGTGTGGTTTTATTTTGTCCTTGTGTGATTCCCTGTGTTCCTGCCAATGCTCCTGCACAAGTTGGGTTTCCTTCTGATTTAATGTGATGTGATTTTAGATTATATTGTTTGGTTTGATGTAAATGTGTTAATTAATAAGAGAGGGGATATCAGATGCTAGAGGGTCTGACAGGCAGTCCTTGTGGTTTATTTTTATAACCAAAAAAGGTTCTATTTGGAACCTCAAAGGTAAACAATTGTGTTTGTAACAAATGTATGAAGACATCAATAAATAGTTTTTTTCTGTTTTTCAGTCTGTTCGTCTCAACATTCTACAAACTGCCACAACACATACTCAGGCGATACATACTACCACAATGATAAGGCACTCCGGATTGTGATGGTTGGGAAAACTGGAGCTGGGAAGAGCGCCACAGGAAACACCATTCTGGGAAAAGAGCACTTTAAATCAAAGTTTTCTTTTGAATCTCTGACTAAAGACTGTGCTAAGGCCTTTGGGGAAGTGGATGGACAAAAGGTTGCTGTCATTGACACTCCTGGTCTGTTTGACACCAGCACTGATGAAGAGAAGACCAGAAACGTCATTGGTAAGAGCGTTGCTTATGCTTCTCCTGGACCCCATGTCTTCCTGGTCGTCATCAAACTGGGCAGATTCACAGATGAAGAAAGGCAGTCAGTTCAGAAGATTCAGGAAATCTTTGGAGAGGAAGCAGACAGATACAGCATGGTTCTCTTTACCCACGGTGATGTGCTCAAAGGGAAATATATCGATGAGTTCTTGAAGGAAAGTGAAGAGCTGAAGGAACTTGTGGCCAGATGTAACGGCCAGTACCACGTCTTCAATAATAACCTGAAGGATCGTTCTCAGGTCAGAGAGCTGCTCGACAAGATCAGAAATATAGCAAAGATAAACGGAGGAAGCCATTACACTAATGAAATGTTCCAGAAGGCAGAGAGGGAGCAAGAAGAGGAAAGACAGAGAATCCTTAAAGAGAGAGAAGAGGAAATGCGCAAAGAGCAGGAAGAAATGCAGAAGAAAATATCAGAAAAGTATGAGCAAAAATTGAAGGAAATGAAAGATGACAGAGAGAGGTTGAAAATGCTACATGAAACTCGTCAAAGTGAAATGGAGGAGCAGATGAGGAGAATACGAGAAGACCAGGAAAGGAAAGCCAGACAGGAAGCTGACAGAAAAAGAAGACATGAATGTACAATTCTATAGATTTAAATGTAAGATAATACTTAAACTGAGCTGTTTTGCAATAGAAAGTCTGACCTTCTGCTAACGGACTGCAGCAGATTTACAGAACCTCCTTATTAATCTTCACTGTCACCTTTTTGATTGATTTGTTTGGTGTGATTTATATCAGTTATTTCTAGGATTGTGTGTTGTGACCAAATACTAAACAAATGTCACAAATTGTCAAGAATCAAGATCTCTGATTTGCTCTTTGATTGCTATTGCTTTTATATATATACAAATAAATATCATTAATTAATACGATGAAAATGTGACGTTATTTAACCTGTTTTTTGTGTGTCTTAGGGCTTCTTAACATTTAACTGTTAAGCCCGAGAGCCCCCGGTACCGGGGGCATTGGGGTTCTTAGTCATTCTTAACGTTCTTAATAATTCTTAACATTTAAAAACCTATTAATGTGTCATACCCACTTATCTGACGATACGAACCATTTTTACCGAAACAAAGCACAAGTCTCACGAGAAGCGTCTAAATGAGCCCTGAGCGAAAGAATACTAACACACTTAGCACAGAACTCAAGGTAAAAATACCCTTATTACTTATCGGATCTGCACAAACAAGATATCGATTATCAAGCTGAGATTCCACAGATGATATAGGTATAAGTATCATCAATGTACGATCAAAACTCGCGACATGGGAAACAAAACCAGACATCACAACACGTAGCATTACGGAGGAAACACAGCAATATCTCTAACCTTTTACTGAAACGGCAAATACACCCACATGCACCCAAAAGACCCCAAAGGTGGGGTTTATTGTGCTAAACCTCTCTAAAAAGGTCAAATGTCACTTGTTTTGCATCAATCTTGATACAGGGTACTTATTATATGTTATAGTTTGGATTCCTAAAGCTTTTAGTCTACGATCCCATCATTCTCAACAGCGCCCTCTGTGACTGGATCCTGAACTTCCTGACGGGCAGACCCCAGGCAGTGCGGGTGGGAAATATCACATCCTCCACCCTGATTCTCAACACCGGTGCCCCTCAAGGCTGCGTGCTCAGCCCTCTCCTCTACTCCCTGTTCACCCACGACTGCGTGGCCACACACAGCTCCAACACCATCGTGAAGTTTGCTGATGACACGACCGTCATCGGCCAGATCACAGACGATGACGAGACGGCGTACAGAGAGGAGGTCGAAAACCTGACATCTTGGTGCCAGGATAACAACCTCCATCTCAACATCAGCAAAACAAAGGAGCTGATTGTGGACTACAGGAAGCAGCAGGGAGAGGGACACGCCCCCATCGCCATCAATGGGACTACGGTGGAGAGAGTCAAAAGCTTCAGGTTCCTTGGGGTCCACATCACTGAGGACCTGACATGGTCTCTTCACACCACCACCATCACCAAGAAAGCTCGACAGCGGCTCTTCTTCCTCCGCAGGTTGAGGAGGTTCAAAATGGATTCCAGGATACTCTGCAACTTCTACAGGTGCACGATAGAGAGTATCCTCACTGGCAGCATGACGGCCTGGTACGGCAGCTGCACCGACCTCGATTGTAAGGCTTTACAGAGGGTGGTGAAAACTGCACAGCACATCACCAGGACGGAGCTGCCATCCATGGAGGACCTTTACTCCCAGCGGCTCAGGAAGAAATCACTACGGATTATCAAAGACCCCCATCACCCCAGCCACAAACTGTTCTTTCTGTTGCCGTCTGGCAGACGTTACCGCAGCATCCTGGCAAGGACAAGAAGATTCGGAGACAGTTTCTTCCCGCGGGCAGTGAGACTGTTAAAGAATTGAACTGTTGAAACAACATCAAACATTCATCTGCTACTCAGTAGTATGTATCTAATACCTAATATATATCATTCCAATAACTTGTATATAGACTCATACTGCACTATTCCACATCATCACTTTATTTCATTTTTATAACTATTATTATTTTTGTATTGCTCATGCTTTTATTGTTATTATGTTATGTTATTATGTTGCATTGTTGGAGAAGCCTGTGACATAAGATTTTCAACTGCATAATTACTCTGTAGCTATGTCAGATTGACAATAAAGAACCTTGAACCTTGAACCTTGAATTCAAGGGTGGTTTTCACTATAAGTGTAATGTTTTTATTTTGGACAGACACTATAATTGACATTTTTTTACTATGATCAATCTGAATTTACGTTAAAATAAAAAACATCTATATTGATTCTGACTTTTCTACATCCAACTCACAGTTTATCATTACTTTGAGAAAAAAGATTATTAATTTACCCCTTTTAGAAGGGAAGTTATAGTCATTTGTTCTGGGAATATCATTTTCAAGCCTGAGACCTGAAAAACAGGCTCAGGGCTTAACAGGTTAAAACACTTGTGCCCCTTTCACACCAACGCGTTTTCAGCGCCGGCTCGGAGCTAGAGCCTGAAAGGTACCGGTTTTTCCTGTTCACACCGCAGCGGCGCCGCCTCTTAGCTCCGGAATCCGGTTCACTTCCAGCGCCAAAAGATTGTCGGTCTAGAAGCAAGAGCTTCGGAGCTAAGAGGCGGCGTCGCTTACGTCTCTCTTACGTCGAGGCGTGCAGGAAACTAAACCCACCTCCCCTGAACATGGGTCGACTGAAGAGTCTCGTCATGCCTGCCTACAAGCAGTAGCGCTGAGCAAAGTGACTAGAAGGCAACCACACACTTATAAAAAAAAACACACTTTATAAAGTCAGGCAACACTAACCAGGCTTCGTGTGATTCTGTTTATTTGTACCTTACTTTGACCATCCGTTCGCTGTTATTGATCATTGTGGAGAGCAGGCAGACGTTTTGTTTGTTATTATAGCAGCTATCGGATGGAATCAATACATGGGCTGCACAGGTTGTCATGTCCGACTATCACAAGTAGAATCATAATGAAAAATACGCCGGTAAAATGTGCCTGTATAAAACGGCTTAGCAAGTAGTCAGTTTAGCTTCGGTTGCTATGCTAACATCACCCATGTTATACCAGAGAAACTTTCATAACAGCGTTGTGATGCCAAACAGCGTCAATTCAGACTGACACACATTCACTTAAAGGTGGGGTAGGTAAGTTTGAGAAACCAGCTCGACATACACTTTTTGTTATATTCCATGGAATGCTCTTAACATCCCGATATGATGAATATCTTAAAGTGGACCTATCATGGTATATTTAAATGATATATTGTAGGGCCATACCTATATAAGGTATATTTATACGTTTCTGTTTTCAAAATACCAAACAGATCATGCATTTTAGCCATGCCTCATTTCGCTCAATTTGCACTTTTTTTTAGCTCTGCTCTGCAAGGGCTGATTCAGTGAGAACAGCACCATCTACAGGCCTGGCATATGTACTACAGCGTCTCCAGCGCTTTCGAACGGCAATGGCCGTGGCTGTCTCCTCCTGATTGGTGGAGTTGGCCCAATAGCCGTAGCGCCACCGTCCTGACGTCAGGACAGTGTTCAAATCTGGATCAGTTTTTATCAGATCCGTTGCAGCCCCTTTTTTAGAGATTTGGGTATGGAGGAAAATAGAGAGGGTTGTGTTTTCTGACACTTGGTGAGTTCCCTGGAACACCGGGGACACATATTCATGTATACAAGACGTACAAAAGTGCATTTTGCATGATAGGTCCCCTTTAAGTGCTTTGACAAAAAATCCATTCAAAAATGTCATCTGTGGAAGCCGTAGCGCTGTAAAAAGCACGACCAATCATCTGAGCCGGCCCGGCTAAAATAACTGGATGGCCTACCTGCCTGTCAGCCTTCCATCTGTGCACAAACTTATCTCGTGCCCTCATTGGTCATGTGCGCGTTCGTGTGTGTTGGAGGAAGGGCTCTATAAGGAAGTGGCAGATTTTTTCCGGCTGTGTATTTTCAAATTCTGGCGCACTCGAGCTGGTTTCTCAAACTTACCTACCCCACCTTTAAAGGTATGTTTGACATGTAAATGTTAACAACAAAAAAAAGAACAAACAACTTTCTTCATACAATAGAAATAATTGTTCTATTCATGATCTGTGATATTTCTCCCATTTACTTTTACGTACAGGCCTACAATTTTAATGCTGAGGGAGTAGGGTAGTTTGTCTGTCAGAATCAAACTTATTAGGGTTAGTAAGCTTGTAATAGGCTAAGTTATTTGTTTGCAGGTGTGGTAAACAGGCAACACAATGCTACTGCTCTGGCTATGATAACTGTGTGCATTTATGAGTATTAGCACTATGCATAAGTAAATAGGCACAAACTCCGTCAAAAGTCTGTTGCTTAAAGCTTCAGTTCACACCCCGGAAAAAGCCCTCATCATGTCCTTTATTAAAAGCGGTCTAATCAATATCGGCTGTGAGAGCATTAAAAGCCTGTTTTATTGCTCCATTCATGTAATCTGCAGTAATTCCCATAATATCAAAATGAAAGTGTCAGCGAGGGCTTTGAACAAAATAAATACTCCTGAGGGTTCTTCCTAGCTCCTCACCCCCATGCTTTTTGTTAAACCATTTATTAAAAACAAATAAAGGATTGCAGTCCCTTTTGCATTTACTGTTTTTTAGAAAGAAATATTAATGATAGGAAGGTATGTGCCATTTTAACTTCAAGCCTTTAGTCATCAGATGCCTGGAAACATGCAGAGCTAACGTTAGCCTTTGCTTATAGTCCCACCATCCTGCTTCCACTAGGGAAAACAGATCCTTTGATAACGTACAAACTGGATAGTATCAGAGGAACAAGTGTATCATACGTTCGTGGAAGCATCGGCTTAAAGCCTGTCCATTGTCAGTTGTTATTCAGTATTTTGCTGATTTTATTTATAACGCTACCAAACCCCATTTTTTGTTTTGGTTTTGATTGAGAGACCCCTGGGACAAATGACATATTCTAGGAATACAAGGGGCACCTGCCTCTCCCATCCCTCCACCTAAAGAACAGTTTTTTACACCAGGCTGTCAGTAGGCTGAACTCTCTCCCCTCCCTCACTCCCCTCTCTCCCCCCT